AAGGGGAAAGAGGGGGAGAGGAAGAAGGAAAAGGGGGCTGCACCCCTTGTCCAATTCGGACCAGAGGGGGGGGCAGGCCTCCTTCCTTTTGGCATCTCTCCTCTATTCCCGTATGGCCCAATAAGGCCCATATACCCCCCGGCGAATTCCCGTAACTCTCCGGTACTCCGAAAAATACCCGAATCACTCGGAACCTTTCCGAACTCCGAATATAGTCGTCCAATATATCGATCTTTACGTCTCGATCATTTCGAGACTCCTCGTCATGTCCCCGATCTCATCTGGGACACCGAACTCCTTCGGTACATCAAAACTCATAAACTCATAATATAACTGTCATCGAAACCTTAAGCGTGCGGACCCTACGGGTTCGAGAACAATGTAGACATTACCGAGACATGCCTCCGGTCAATAACCAATAGCGGAACCTAGATGCTCATATTGGCTCCCACATATTCTACGAAGATCTTTATCGGTCAAACCGCATAACAACATATGTTGTTCCCTTTGTCATCGGTATGTTACTTGCCCGAGATTTGATCGTCGGTATCTTAATACCTAGTTCAATCTCATTACCGGCAAGTCTCTTTACTCGTTACGTAATACATCATCCCGCAACTAACTCATTAGTTGCAATGCTTGCAAGGCTTATAGTGATGTGCATTACCGAGTGGGTCCAGAGATACCTCTCCGACAATCGGAGTGACAAATCCTAATCTCGAAATACGCCAACTCAATATATACCTTAGAAGACACCTGTAGAGCTCCTTTATAATCACCCAGTTACGTTGTAACATTTGGTAGCACACAAAGTGCTCCTCCGGTAAACGGGAGTTGCATAATCTCATAGTCATAGGAACATGTATAAGTCATGAAGAAAGAAGTAGCAACATACTAAACGATCAAGTGCTAAGGCTAACGGAATGAGTCAAGTCAATCACATCATTCTCCTAATGATGTGATCCCGTTAATCAAATGATAACTTTTTTGTCCATGGCTAGGAAACTTAACCATCTTTGATTCACGAGCTCGTCAAGTAGAGGCATACTAGTGACATTATGTTTGTCTATGTATTCACACATGTATTATGTTTCCGGTTAATACAATTCTAGCATGAATAATAAACATTTATCATGAAATAAGGAAATAAATAATAACTTTATTATTGCCTCTAGGGCATATTTCCTTCAGTATTCGGTTGTATTACACAAAACAATCAATGCACAAGGGACCACATGCTTGACAAACGTGACCCAACTCGTTTACTAGGAGCAGACCCCATTTACTAGGCACAGGCTGGGAACGTTAACTGCATTTCACCATCTCTCTCTATCCAGCGTTGTTAATTTGGAAAGTGGGGTATTTTAGTGTCATCACATGTATCCGTTTCTCTGCTATGTCCAGACCTCATTTCCAACCAAATTGCTTACATGTATCACTTTCTTACCCAAAAAAAACCAGTTGGTTCATTCTTCATAGTTAACTTGAATCAAGAAAAACATAATTTGTATTTTAAAATGCAACCTTAATAAAGAAAGTACATCCATTAACAGAACATCAGGCAAAATGTAATAGGACAATAAAGAAAGTACATCAATTAACAGCAGGCCTCATTTACTACTGCCCATGTCATGAATATTAATTACACTGATGGGTAGCCTGCAGCCCTGCACCCTGACCATTAATTCAGTTATAGCTGGCTCATATCTACTTTATTAGTGTTGTGTATTCGCTCACTTATCCATGTGTATTGCTGCAGTATCCAATCAGTCGCTATATTCAGTACGAATCGCCTAGCAGCAATCATCGGTCAGGATGACATCCTCGCGTACCACCATGTCCCAAAAATTCGCGTCCAACATTTATTATGATATGTATCATGATATGATACTCAACTCTCTCTTTCTTCATTTAATTCTATGCCACCTCATCAAAATTGTATTGCCGCCCATGAACGTGCAGGGCTTGTCGAATTGGGCTGCTGTCTAGCTCGTCGTGGCTCTCTGCTGGAAGTGGACCACGGCACCAAGGTGCTAGCGCTTGCGCTTGCGGTGGCCGGGTGACGGCACTGCGGCGGTCTGGTGGTGCTGATACATATCCAATTGGCTCTCCACAATGAGGAAGTGGTCATCAAAAGATCTTCAGGAAGGCTTGTCTCTCTAGATTTGGTGATTAACTTCAGCGGCGAGCAATCAAATTATGGACGACGACTTGACGCAGAGGAATGATTGTGCAGTGACCGCGGTTGCATCGCATGTAGCTGTTGGGATCGCGAAAAGGTGGTGACGACAACACATAATTGATTTTGTTGGTGGTGCTACTTAAGCACCCGGTCTCGAGCTCCCGTGCGAAAGCATAGGTCAAACCCAAGTTGGTTATACCTGGTAGTGGCGATGTTTTCTTTTATGTCGTTACCTTGTTGAAGGCATTGCTCGGATATGCTCGGACTGATTCTTCAGGGTAAAAACCTAGATTCTAGCCTTGTTGGTTGGATCTAGTGATGACGACGCTTGGGTGTCGCCCCCTTCTTGAAGGCATTGCTGTTGAAGAACCTCATCATACATGTGATGTCATGAGATGGTTGGTGTTGATACAGTCATTGTTGTAGTTTGCTGATCATGGATCTGATCACTTTGGGGGTTTTATTCTTGCCTACGCATAGCTTTGGTCTTATATGACCTTGCTATGTGCTGGCGTATTTTGTGTGTGCGCGTCTGTGTTGGCTCTGTGCATCCTAACTATGCAGAGGCTGGTGTATGTTTATTGTGTTTGTATCCTCTTGATGCTTCATTGCAAATAAAATTCACTTTTTGTTGAGAAAATCAAAATTGTATACTCCCTCCGTTCCTATTTTTTTAGAGATTTCAAATGGACTACACATACGGATGTATATAAACATATTTTAGAGTGTAGATTCACTCATCTTGCTTCGTATGTAGTCACTTATTAAAATCTCTAGAAAGACAAATATTTAGAAACGGTGGGAGTAGTTGGCATGCATGATTTTAGGCCGGTCATAGTGGGAGTAACTTAGCTAACAACATAACGTTTTTCAAGACAAAATTGATTATGTGACATGTACTTCCTCCCTCCCATAATGTAAAACGTCTTACTAATGGGACTAGGGAGTAGTTAATAAGGAGATACTCCCTTCGTCCGAAAATACTTGTCATCAAAATGGATAAAAGGGGATGTATCTAGATGTATTTTAGTTCTAGATACATCTCTTTTCATTTTGATGACAAGTATTTAGAACTAAAATATTTTCCGTACATCTAGATACATCCCCTTTTATCCATTTTGATGACAAGTATTTTCGGACAGAATGAGTAGGTGTTTAGAGCAACATAACATGTTACTGCAACATAGCGCTTCCCGAGAAAGGATGAGGCTACAAGCTAATAAATGAAACCATATACTCCCTCCGTCTTAAAATTTTTGTCTTAAATTTGTCTAGATACGGATGTATCTAATACTAAAACATGACTTGTCTTAGATTTGTCTAGGTACGGATGTACTCTTATCTAATACTAAAACATGACTTGATACATCCGTATTTTGACAAATCTAAGACAAGAATTTTGAGACGGAGGGAGTATAATAGTAATACTATGTAATTTTATACTATGAAGGTAGTAATTTAGACTAGTATCATAGGCATGATGCTAGCATAAGTTACTCCCCTCTATGACCAGCCTCCGGTTAAGAATTTATTTACTCCCTGCAACGTGAAGGCAACTTTCCGTCTTTCCCTCCGTTTCATCACCCAAATGAGTCAAACTGTCAAAGGTAGTGGCTCAACGACGGACGTGTCTCCGTTAATTAGCGTCTAAGCTGGGAAAGGCAGATCGCGTACGCACACAGGAGAAGTATTGCTTCGGTTCTACTCTCCACTCCTCGTGTCGGTGTTTCTTTCTTGGGAAAGAAAGATTCCGCGTGTCCTCGTGCCTCCACAATTTAATCCAAGTTTCTCCTCACACCTGCTCACTAACTGTTTATTTACTCCTAAAGAAAGAGGCGTAGAATATCATTTCTGATCGCTGTAGGCTGGAGGAGATCTCCGTCGTCGTGCAAAGTAATGATAAAGTCGATTCTCTCGATTGCCCGGTTCACCAAATGCGAGCATGCGACATGCTTGCAGGTGTGCACAAAAATAAGGGTGTGTTATAAGGATGTGTTTGGTCTCAAATAAGTCATCAACTTATAAGTCGAAAAGTAAAAAAAATGACTTATTTATCAAACAGACCTGATTTATAAGTCACCCCAACTTATAAGTCATAAGTTGCTCCACCCCAACTTAAAACTTATAAGTCACCCCCTTTTGCGTGGGTCCCACCATCTGCATGATATTGATTGGTGTGGAAGGTGTGTCAGGTCACTTATAAGTCAAGTGACAACCAAACAGGCGTGACTTATAAGTCACTGGTTTTAAGTCATCTGACTGGTGATTTATTAAAACCAAACAGGCCCTAAACCTAAGATTCAGCGCAAGAAATGAGTAAAAAGATTACCCGTGGGGACTCCGGACCGAGGGCTAGCGATAGTGGAGAGGACTCAGTACCGTATTCTGAGCAACGGCCAATTGTAGAGAGGACATGCTCTCCGCCGCCGCACAGTTATCCACGTCGTATAACGGGAACAATTAACCAAACTGATAACATAAAGAATACCAGAGTAGTACCGTATTCTGTTGGTCAGCACGACTGCACGAGCACTCATTCATTTATTCATTCATTCGGCCTCCACCATTATCCTCTCGCGGGAGAGACGGTGGCAGGCAGACCCATCCCGTCCCGTCCCGTCCCCGACCCACCTCTATTTCACCGTCGCCCACGCTCCCTTTCCCTTTCCGCATCCGCAGCAACGAAAGCGAGCGCAAACCAAACCCACCCCACAACGCAACGCGACGCACCCCCGTTCCACCCCGTCCCGTCCCGTCCCGCCCCCCTCCTCCGACGATTCGAGGCCCCGGGCTCCCGCGCGGCGGCGGCGGAGGAAGCATGAGGACGGCGGCGGAGGCGCACCAGTCGCGCCTGCTCTACGAGCTGGGCGCGCTGCTGCTGACGATCCTCCGGTCGCCGCTCGGGCCGGGGGAGGAGGGGCAGGGGCCGCCGCGGCAGGTGACGGCGGCCGGGGTGGCGTCCATGATGCTCGGCGCCTCCATGGCGCTCATGCTCTGCGGCTCCGTCACCTTCATGCTCGGCTTCTTCCTCATGCCCTGGGTCGTCGGCCTCGCCTGCGTCTTCCTCTTCGTCGGCTTCCTCACCAACCTCTCCGGGATCTGGAGGGCCATCCTCTGCTGGCCCGCCGCCTCCTCCTCGCCCCATAAGGACGCCTCCACATGTACGTGATCCCCTTTCTTCCGCGTCATCCCCGAGGGGACGGCTTGTCTTTCCTGCGCTCTGGATTGTTCGCTATTGCGATTCGATTCCGTGTAAATGTTAGCGTAATTGGGAACAGACACGAGGATTGGTGCTGTTTCTGGGCTCGATCGGGGTTAGAACGTTGTGAATTGGCCGCCTTCGCTTAAGTTCTGCCCAAATTTGAAGCATCTATGGCCTGTGCCGTTTAAATTGTTCTATTATAAATGATGATATTGAAGAAGCTCCTCGTGCGGATCAAACTGGAAACTGTAGGATTGGTCCACCAATTCTCTTCATGAGGGCATCGTATATGCATGCTGATGATGCAGAAATTATGATTTCACAAAAGCTTTTCCTCTCTCCCTGGGCAAATTGAAATTAACTTCGGATTGAAGCACCCGCCATCCCTACCCCATCTCCTGGAGAAGGGGAAAGGAAAGCAAGCAACCAGTGATGCTGGTGCATGCCACTGCGTGTTTATTGCCTGGATAATGTTCTTCTGTAATTTAGATCAAGAAAGACTACCTGGAGTTGCTGCTTGATGAGTTAAACGAGGGGGAATAGATAACTGCCTTAATGACCGTATGATATCAAAGATGGGAAAGGAGCAGTAGGTAAACATATAGAGTCAAAATGTATATCTAAAAGTGAAGGTGGATTTGATTGCCTATGCGCTGTAGTGCTTGTTAAGCAGGAGACAAGAAAAAGAAACTTTATATCTTGGCTAATGTTGACAGGACATGGGTAGGGTTCTTAGGATATAAACTTCATAACAAGAATACGTAAGGATCGCAAATCTTGCCGGAAAAAAAATGTCCTAGTCTATTGAACGAAAAAAACAAGAGAAGAAAATTTTGGAACTTAACCTTTAATATTTTAACATGTTGCTGTCACCCTTACATTTCCAATGAGAGCAGACTTTTGAAATAGACAGTTTTTGGTATTTTGATTAGAGACTGTCTACCTAGTGAGCAATCGTGCTGAAGGTGCACCTTGGTTGCCCCACCAACCACGATTTGCTCTTGATCATTTTTGATTTACACGTTAGAATCTCTACCGTAATATTCCTGTAATAAATAATGCTCATAGATTTAACTGTACCTTCAAGATCCAATGTTACAATATGATGATATCAATGTAATTCCTTTCCATATCCTTCATTGCTACGTGCTAAAATAGTGCTGTGCATATGTCAGTATCATGCTGCCAAGACTTTTTGCCTATCTATTGCTTGCTCAACTATCCAATACAAGAGTAACTTGACCTTTTCATTATCCTCTTGTCACAGGGCATATATTTCCCAAGCCTCCATTCATGTAGACGTGAAGTCGAATGCGGAGCAGCGATGTACAGAAGAAGCACATGAGTTTGGGCAGCAGTATTTTCCTTCCTGGGCAACTTTTACCATGTAACAAATGCAACAAGTCTAAATGGTTGTATACTTATAACTAGGAGGATACATCTTGACAGCAAACCTTGTACATATGGGAAGAATGCTCTGGTGTAATTGTTACGTGAGGCTTATGATTGTTTGAGAAATGGAAAAGCCTCTGTTTCTTCCCAGAATTACAAGAAATTCCGTGTTTCCGGATAAGTTTGTATCTGTTTGAGAGGAATGGCTGCAAATTGGATGGTTCGGTCGGGGTAATGCTTGTAATGCCATGTAAACTTGACATTTGTATGATGTTGACCATAAATGAACTTCTCATTTTCAAGAATGAGAACGAGAAAAGGGTGACTGATTTTTGTCGGAGAGTAAGCTGCAATATGCATTCTCTGCTCAATGGAGAAGGTTAGCAATGCTTCCTGTACTTGAAATTTGACTTGTATGATTTTGATCATAGGTTTTTCCTTTCTGTATAGTGAGGAGAAAATAGGGTTTGTCCAATCCGGTGGTAGTGGCGTCTGGCTTTTGATTTCACTACCATCTGTCTCCTCTGCTTGAACTTGACCTGTCCTTGTCCTAGCCTGAGCTAGCAAGGCTTAACGAAAGTGCCTCTTCTCCTGGACCCAAAAGAGCTGCAAGATTGCTATAGGTAACTGCAGATACTGGACGCTGACTTGAGCTCTAAAATGGGCACCCTGAGACGCAACGAATTGAAAGGTTGTGAGGTCACACCGAATGTAGGGGCCGTGAAAGCAAGAGGAGAGCAACCTCAGAAGCAAAGTTCAGCCAGCTCTTCTGCCAACGGCAAGCAACTGCCTCCTTTCTTGCGTATGACCGTCAGCATCAGGGAGGAGAACAGAAACTCAATAGAAGATCAAACACAGAACCAATCAAAGATAAAAAATGGTCACCATGGAATTGGAGGAGCGCGCGAAAGAACTGAACTGCTAAGTTTTTTCCATGACCTCCCCACACAACATTGACACGAGAATAACCACGATACAATTTCAGACCCAGACCCATAATACGGGGCGTTTTGTTATGTTTCATCCCCGGTGGATCTCATAAGCTGTTGGCATGAAAGCACCACAAAGTTTTTCACCATCAAACACAAAAACCACAACCGAATTGTTTGTTTTGCAGAACATTCTGTCTTCCATGGGGAAGCACGACCTCTGGTAAGATTCTTAGCCATAGTTCAGGCGGAACATGTCGTTGTGCACATAGAAGTTCCCTGGTCCGAGTGGCATCAAGTGGAACATCTGCACCAAACAGCGGGTTGCCATGTTAGCAAGTAAAGCAGGAGCCCAATGGGCATGTCAAACATAACCTGTCCAATAAATTTGGACACACACCCAAACAATTCACATATCAGCAACAAAAACAAGAAGAAAAGGTTAAGGTGGTCTAGGAATACAGATCAATCATCTTAGAAGGCACACCCATAAATTCCATGGATCATGGTAAAATATGCTGCCAGAGACACAAATCCAACAATTCGCACATTGTGATACCACAATGAAGATATGAAAGCATACATGCAGTAGCATGTGCAATATTTTCATAGAAATAACATACAAAAAATGAGACAACAGAGGTGATCCAGAAATATTTAGCTTGAACCCTAAACATTGTGGCAAAGTCAATGATAAGAATTTGATCTGATCCATTTTATAAGAATGCAAGAGAAGTCCGCAAGTGATAAGATATGACATAGGTTCAATTTGCACCACAAGGAGTAAATAGTAGCTGCAGTTCCGTGCAAAAAAACCCGACAAGGTACAATGCAGGAGTCAGCTAATAATTTAACTAAAATTAATATAGAACTTTATGAAATGTCATGATATGATTCTATAGCATTCAGAAGAATAAACATGCACAATAGACGTGTGTGTACTCCTAAACAAAGGAAAAATCTGATTTGATTGGTTCAGCTGAAAGTCAATCAACGATGTCACTGAATATATACTAAAGATAAAGTACACATATCCCAATCCCTCCACAAAGAGATCAGGAGCAAGCATACAAAAAAGGCATAAATGAATGCCAAAGAAACCTGTTGCCACAGGAAGAAGTACTACCAGTAATGGTGCAGACAACATCAAGAATCCTACCGATTATCTGAAGAACATAAAATCAAACTAAGCTCGTGACAAGTAAAGATCCCATAAGCATTGCAATCCCAGGATAATACTAGATCCTGAGACTAAGCTCATAGACTATTAATCTAAAGGGCAATAACCATTAACCAGAGACCAAATCAAACAAATCTAACGCTGACGAGCCAGTTCTAATACACATATTGACATAGCATTCCTGATGGAAATCTAACAATTCAGTCACAGCATCCCGCAAGCAATCATCCTAAACCATTTCAGAATGGAGATCTAAGTAACGACCAAGTTTAAGATGCCACGCTTCAATCCGGACATTTTGAGGGAGCATGAACCGTTAGATCGGGCCAAAGAAACGGGGCCATACCTGGGAGAACTTGATGTGGTGCTCGCCGTCGACTTGGAGGGATCCGGAGACGAAGACGAGCATACCGCCCGTGGGGCCGGCGGGCTGGCAGTCGACAGTGACGACGGTGTGGACGCACTTGGTGAAGGGGAGGGAGGTGAGCTTGGTGGCGATGGCGGCGGCTCCCTGGAACTTCTCGCCCTCGAAGGAGAGCATGGAGCCCTCCTGGTACAGCCCCACCAGCGCCGCCCGGTTGGTGTCGAACGTGCGGTAGTAGTGCTCGACGAACGCCTTCGCCACTGAGTCGGGGTCCATCTCTGCCGCCGCCGCCGCCGGTGAGGTTAGGGTTTGCGGAGGCCTTTTGTTTTTTATGGATAGGGAAATGGGTTTGCGAGGCGTCCGGTCGCGTTAGGAACGTTTTGACTGCGTACGAACGACGCGACGAGATTATCGCTTGATGGCCCGAACGTGGTAGCGAGCCTATCTATACCATGCCTAAGCAGCCCATAGAGTCAAGCCCAGACCTTTTTTTGTTAGAGAAGTCAGTGCGCATTTACCAGGAGTAACTAGTTGACGAGCGCTGCTTTGCATTGTTCACGATTTTCACTGTATTTTTCTTCTTCTTTTTTTCCTTGCTTTTTGTTTGTTTTGTTTCTTTCCTTCTCGTTTTTCATCGGCTTTCTTTGTTTTCCTATGTTGTTTTCTCGGTTTTCATTTATTCCATTTTATTTGCACTCATTCCTTCGGTTTTTTTTTGTTTCTCTTCTTTCTTTTTGGGTTTTCATTTTTTACTTTTTCTTTGTTTCTTTGGTTTTCATTCTACATTTTTTATACGTCAAGAATATTTTTCTAATACATGTTTTACATTTTGTAAACATAATTATAATATTTCTTGAGTACACATATTTAACATTTTTGCAAATGCTTGCCTAACATTTTTCAAATAAAATATTAAAAGTTTTTGGATACATGGTCAACATTTTTTATTTAGACATTCTAAACATTTTCAAATTCTTGATTAATATTTTTTTAAACATAACATTAAATTTTCTTAATATATGGTTAACATTTTTTCTATATACATTTAACATCTTTCGAATGATTGATTAACATTTTTTCAAATGCAAGATTAACAATTTTTAATACAAAAAATTATTTATACATTTAATATTTTCTAAATGCTTGATTAATTTTTTTTAAATCAAGTTTAACATTTTCATACAATATAGGATCAAATTGGTTTGAATACATGGTGAACATTTTCCTATACACGTATAACATTTTTTAAATGCTTGATCAACATTTTTCACTTTTTGGTGCCGCCGTCGTCGTCGACATCTGAGAAATTTAGGTCCCCTCGCCTCTGGTGCCATCTTGGCACTGAGAGGTGGGGGGACCTCGGATCTTCAAGACCTCTATATTCTTCTTCAACATCTAGTGATCATTATAGTTTTGTGAGAATAACTTTCCTCTCATTCTTTTGACGATGTCATGAGGTTGAGAGTTTTTTGTCCTCGCAGATCCTATTATTCAGATCTGATTAGTCTGTGTTGCTGTGTCAAGTTTTTTTGTTGGTCTGATTTTTTGTGAAGATGAAATCTTTCATCGACACCATGATAAGATAAAGTGATTCAATGACCTACACTTTAGGGGATCAACCCCGGCCCAAGTACGCATTTTGGATGGGCGACTCAAGGTTCTTTCAAAAATTATTACTGGTAATGTTTGTGCGGGGTGAAAGAGTGACAACGTCGTTGCTCTAGTCTAATTGCAGCCTCTTTACCGAAGTCTTTGGAGTATTTCTTAAAGCAGAGATTGATACTGTGAAGAAGGTGTTTTCAAGAGATTTCATTATAATTCTTAGTCATAGGAGTTACTTTGTATTTTTTTTGGATCTTAGGTCAAAATCAGTGTACCTGTAATCCTTATGAGTACAAATAAAGTTACAGGTGTTTCTTGAAAAAATAAAGATTAACCATTTTCAAATACATGTTAAACATTTTTTGAGTACATGGTCAAAGAAATTCCTACACACATTTAACATTTTTGAAACACTTGATTACTTTTTTAAAAATACTTGAATGCTCGATTAACATTTTTAAAATACACGATCAACTTTTTTTTATAAAAAGTTTCTCTATACACAGTTAGCATTTTTCAAATGCTTGGTTAACATTTTTTGTAATATATTTATTTAGAATATTTGGAATTATTCAAAAGTAAAAAAGAAAAAAGAAATCAAAAAACATTGAAAAACAAAGAAACAAGGTCATGGGTGAATTGCCAACCTCCTATTAGGGAGAATATCTGGTGCAGTGATGCTTGTGGTGCAACTGGTGGACCGAACTCCTGTAGCACATTTAAAATGTACAGAAAATTTTGAAAGAAAATTAGCACATCCACACAATATTAATGTATGCTGTCAAATAATTTCAAATCAAAATTCAAAACATACTTGAAAAAGCAGAAATGAAAAATTCGAAACTATAATATAAGTTGGGCTCAAGATTTCAATCATTATCACATTGATGTCAATGTTTCGAGTTTTGATATGAAAATTTGTGACAACATACATTGATGTTATATCTATGTGCTATATTTTTTTCTAGATCTTTTCAAACATTTTGAGATCTACGTCATCCAGTGCATCGATAGCACCATAAGGGTGGGTGCACCAGATACATTCCCTCCCATAACAAGTCGTGGTTTAGTTTGAAAATTATGGAGATGCATCATTAGATTCATAATCAAGGAACTCACACACAACTACTAAATGATCTAGTGAAGCATGTCTGTGTTCTTCAAACAATTAGAGCATGTGGTCGAGTAAATTGAATTTATGAACCATGTAATTTGAGAACTTTATTTTGGATTATAATGTTTATATTTGAATTAATATTGTGTTGTCAAATTTATCTTTAAATTATTTCAATGTCCCGGAAGAAAAATGTTCGAAAAGAAAGGAGTGAACAAATAAAGATTATTTGAATGTGGATATTAGGTGACCGGTATACCTGGCCATCCGGCCCGAAAAACCTGACCCGGTCCGACCTGCCCTTGCCCACGGGCCAACCCTGGGCCTAGTTTTTGAGCTTGATGGCCGGGACGGGGCGGGCTTGGGCTTGTCATTTTTGCAATTTAAGGAAGAGGCCCAGTCCGAGGCCCAACGGGTTTGTTGATGGATGGGCCTGACTTGGGCCTAGACACTAGGCCCGCTGCCCGGGCCTAGGTTTCCTGCTTCAGGCTTTGCTAGGTCCGACCCAAGTTATGCCCAGGTATAGTGACCAACCATCGGAAAAATATAGTATATTTATGTTTTTGCCCTTGAAAATGCTTTAGGATGTAAGGGCATATTTATCCGTTAGTAGTTTTGGTGATTGATGACAATGCTTTTGCGGACTAGTCATGTGCATTGAGCATTTCAGATATATCATGTCTAAACACAAGACGATTTAGTGCCCCTCGAAGACTATTGAAGACGTCGTTTCTCTTTGTTTCTTTTTGGTGGATTTGAGTCGTAGGAAAGCCGTACTATTAAGAGGGGGTCCGCGTTGGAAAGGTTTGGGTGGAATCAACACGTACACGTTTGTCTCTTTTTGCACCACCTTTCCTTTGGCTCTTTGGAGCATCCTCCGTCTCTCCGTGTCTCTGCAAATGAAGGACTCCTAATGTTGCTGAATTGAGGCAGGAGGTAGTACTGCTCTCCAGAGCCGTACTACTGCGGGCCCTTGCGGTAGTACCGGCCTCCAGCATGGTAGTACAGTAGGTGCTCACAGTAGTACGTACTGCTCCTTGGGAGCGGTAGTACCGTGGCCTCAGGCCAGGCGCAGCTGCTCGAGTGGTAGTAGGGGCGGATGTAATTTTTTACATCCGCGCCCTACGCGGTAGTACCGCTCCATGGGCGCGGTAGTACCGTGAGCTCTGGCCAGGCACAACAACATGAGCGGAAGTAGGGCGGATGTAATTTTTTACATCCACGCCCTACACGGTAGTACCGCTCCGGGCTTGCGGTAGTACAGTGTCGGAATTTTGCATAGATCAAAACTCAGTGGAAGTAGTCATGGATGTATTTTTATATGTCCGTGCCTTCTCAGCCTAGACTATTCCTGCCTTGCGATAGTACCGCAAGGGGCGCCGTAGTACCGCACCAGCGGTTCTACCGCTCTCTGCCTCTGCGCTACAGGTCTGGTCTAGCCCCTGCCTTGCCAGCGGTAGTACCACAGTGCCATGCGGTAGTACCGCGGGGCCTTGCGGTAGTACCGCTCTTCGCGGGCTGAGTTGGTGGATAACGGTTGGATTTGTTCTTTCACTATATAAGGGGAGTCTTCTTCTCCGAGTTGACTACCTCTTCCACCTCCAAGCTTCATTGATGCTCTAAGCTCCATTTTCGCCCGATCTCTCTCCCTAGCCAATCAAACTTGTTGATTCTCTAGGGATTGGTTGAGAAGGCCCCGATCTACACTTCCACCAAGAGAAATTTGATTCCCCCACTAATCCCTTGCGGATCTTGTTACTCTTGGATGTTTGAGCACCCTAGATGGTTGAGGTCACCGCGGAGCCATAGTACATTGTGGTGAATCTTCGTGGTGTCGTTGGGAGCCTCCAATTAAGTTGTGAAGATTGCCCCAACCTTGTTTGTAAAGGTTCGGTCGCCGCCTCCAAGGGCACCAGTAGTGGAATCCTGGCATCTCGCATTGTGTGAGGGCGTGAGGAGAATACGGTGGCCCTAGTGGCTTCTTGGGGAGCATTGTGCCTCCACACCGCTCCAACGGAGACGTACTTCCCCTCAAAGGGAAGGAACTTCGGTAACACATCCTCGTATCCATCGGTTCCACTTTTGGTTATCTCTCACCTTTACTTGTGCAAGCTATATTGTGTTATATCCTTTGCTTGCTTGTGTGCTTATTGTTGTTGCATCATATAGGTTTCTCACCTAGTTGCATATCTAGACAACCTACTTTGATGCAAAGTTTAATTTGGTATAGTTGCCTATTCACCCCTCCTCTAGTCAACTATATCGATCCTTTCAATTGGTATGAGAGCCTCGTCTCTTAATTAAGGACTTTACTATCCTAAGAGTATGGTTGACACCATAGACGGTGAGGAGGAGCACCCCGGTGTGAATCCTTCTTCGTCTACGACCGATGGGGGATCCTCGGTCTCACGCAAGGAATTCAATGTGGCTTTGGACACATTGAAAACCTCCATGACGACCGAGGTCAAAGGCATGTTCAAAGAGTTCCTTGATGGTCTTAAATTATCCACCGCACCCTTGGAAGTGGCCGCTGCCACTAACAAGGTGGCGGATGCCAACT